TTATATATTTTATTAGCTTGCCTTTATAAATCTACCTTTAATACACAAGGTGGGTATTGCTTTGTAACTTTTATATTTTTCCAAAGATCCACAAAGTCATCCCAATAAGGTAAAGATTCCTGAGCAGCACTGCAGCTGTGATCTGTTGATTCTGCATCTGTGGGAACATACCAGCTGCTGGAATTAAACGAGCTCTTTACTGTAATCTGGTGGGACGATTAGGACTGCACCCCAGTAACATGAAGTAATGGTGATGCTGAGTTTAGACTGGAGCTAGTTGGAGAAGAAGCAGAGTAAGTCCTATGAGCATGTGACTCAGGGCAGGCAGATATTCCAAACCACATGATCTCTTAGTGTACCTTTTTTTTTTTTTTTTTTAAGATTTTACCCATTTATTTGAGGGAGAGAGAGAGCATGAGAGCAGAGTGAGGGGCAGAGGGAGAAGCAAAATCCACATAGGGAGTCCAGCATGGGGCTTGATCCCAGGACTCTGAGCCGAAGACAGAGCCTTAACCGACTGAGCCACACAGACACCCCGATCTCTTAGTTGACTTAAAAATGAACCAGTTCTATAGTTTGCTGATCCAAGGGAAATTAAGAAATTAGATAGGTTTCCTAGACTCTTAACAGGGTGATTTATACAGGGATAGGAAGTAACTTCCACAAGTTAAGAACTGAGAGAGCAGCAGACCTCTTGATCTGAGCATTGTTCACTCTGTCTGTGGCCAAAGAAGCTTTTATATTTGGAAGCTTAACTTCTGCCACCACTTCCCACTTGAAGATGTTTCAGATCTTTTTTTTTTTAAAGCTTCCTACGTGTGTGTGTGTGTGTGTGTATTTAAAGATCTTATTTATTTATTTGACAGAGATCACAATTACGCAGAGAGAAGGGGAAGCAGGCTCCTTACTGAGCAGAGAGCCTGATGTGGGGCTCGATCCCAGGACCCTGGGATCATGACCTGAGCCGAAGGCAGAGGCTTAACCCACTGAGCCACCCAGGTGCCCCGCTCCCTGTGTATTTAAATGGGAAAGAATCAAAATGTCTTCCTCTGAAGTTGCTTGTGCTTTAAAAAGATAATCTTCAGTTATTTAGTTTGTATGAAAACTGATTTCTAGCTAATACAGAAGAGAATAAGGGGGAAGATTGTTAGTAAAGGGAAAGCCTATGAAATGGCTGTATCTCTAAAGTGTAGCTCCTGGCTTCTCCTTTGTAGGAAGTGTAGGACCTGGTTTTCCTCTTGGGAGCTTTCAGTGGAGCTAAGGAGGCAAAACTTAAATACTGCCAGGATGGGATTAGGGGCTAATGAAAACGTTCCTGAACAGAACAAGATGAATGAGCAAATGGGGACTCTAGGGCTGGAAGGGTCTAAGAAAGTTTCCATGAGAAGAAACTAATTTGGTGGTTTTGGTTGGAGATGGAGGGATGCCAAGGTGAGGGGGAAAGCAGTGCTCAGTCTGGAACTACCAGCTTAGGGTTGGGTGTCAGGTCTGCTGGAGAATATAGGCTGGAAAGAGACATTGTGCTGGATTAGTGATATCATTTTGGTGACTGTCCAGGAAGAGTGTTGATCAGACCCATGTCAGGCAGTATAGTTATTGGGTGGTTGAACTAAAATATATGTATTTTTTAAATATTTATTTATTTGACAGAGAGTGAGGGAAGGAACACAAGCAGTTTGGGAAGCTGGAGAGGGAGAAGCAGGCTTCCCGCCAAGCGGGGAGCCTGTTGTGGAGCTCAATCCCAGAATTCTGGGATCGTGACCTGAGCTGAGGGCAGACACTTAACAACTGAGCCACCCAGGTCCTCCCTTAAGTATTTTTTTAGTACTATACTAAAATTGTGATGGGGGGTTTTACAGTTGGAGTCCTAATTGATGCTTTTGTTTACTCTTGTTGAAAATTACTCGGATAGGCAGAATGAGTAAGAGAACTGGATGTGCATAGCAAGACAAATGATGTGAGAAGTTTAGAACATATCCAGTGGCCCAGCATCGAGCCGTTTGGACACCTAAGCAGGATAGACTGTCCTTATTGTTGAGCGGTCAGTGGATATGAACCTTATCGGTGTCATAAAGGTGTTGGTTATGAAGCTCTCGTTTGATGAATTTCCAGTGTGGGACTTGAGTGATAGTCTAACTCACGGGTGACGTACGTGCTGCCTTGTGGCGTCCTACACCATTGGCTACATCTGGTGTGTGCAATCCCGAGAGGCATTTTGTGGCGGGAATATTGAATATAGTTGCTTACAATAGTATCTCTTGGTACACTGTATAGTTCTCACGACCTTCTGACACTGCTTAACTTGAAATTTTCATAAGTATTTACTGAGCACCTGATCTGTATGCCAGCCTGACTCCTCTTTCACTCTTGAGAATCTGCCTAGTCCATAAAAGTGCTCTCAGTGTCAATACTTACCTCCTGTATTGGGCAAAGTCTTATTTGTCCTGCTGCATATGCTCTTGTACAGCTTCTCTTACTTGCTTCAAATGCTCTACAGATATTTCTGTCTCAGGAAGCTTAGAGGATGGGTGGGAGCAGAGAGCACTACACTGTCAAAAACTACATTTAAGAGGAGTTTCCAGAGTGGCCTTTGCTTGCTTGCTTGGTTTCCTGACTTTGTTCCTTTGACCTAATTCCTCCTCTAATTTCTCCCCTTCCTCTACCCATTCCTCCCCTCCTCTGACCATCTCCGCCCCCCCCACCGCCCACCCCCAAAATTGACTGCCCATGCTTTAAAAGAACAAGCCTTTAGATAGTTATGAACACCTGAATGGAAAAGGAAGATCTGGTCCAAAACCCCAGGTGAACTTGAAAGAAGTATCAGCTTGAACTAGTAACAATTTTCTATATGATTTATAGCTGATGAAATACCCCTTACCCTGTGTGACTGAACTCCTGAGAACTGCTAAGAGATGAGACATTTCCTACCCCTAGGACAGAATTTGCTTTTTCCAGTTACTTCTCTGCCTAATCACACATTATCCTTACCTTTGAAATCTCTCCTGACCTGACCTGGCTTTTATTCTAGCCTCTGACTATGGGAATATCCCCACCTGCCCTTCTCAGACCTCTCTGGCCCTTTGTGGACAAGGAGGCCAATAAAGGTCCATTAGTTGCTCGGTGCCAGTAGAGAGTCCAAGAGCCTGAAGTAGAGTTTCTGGGACAGAGGTGATTGGAATAGTTGGCATTGATGGAGCCTAGGAGGAACCAGGGTCTGTTTTGGGTGGTCTGCTTTCAGGGACCGGTGGTGAACTCAAAACTCTGGGTAGAGCTGAGAAAGTCATGATAAAGCAGCCTTTCTAACGTCAAAAAAAAGCCAGTCAGCTTTTTTTTTTTTTTTTAAATAAGGAATTGTTCTTGGTCTCAAATCTTCTACTTTGATATATAGGCCTGACAGGTCTTTGTTACCCTTGCCCTTGCTAGGCTGTTTTTCTAGAAATGCATGGAGAAACCGATTCCATTTCTTCTTTGGAACAATAAAAAGAATCAAGTCTGTTTCCGTGCACTTGTGGCCTTTCTAGCCAGACTTACAGTACACTCAGAGCTGGGCAGGAAGGAGTGCTTTCGGGACATTCAAAAGGTAGTTAAAGCCGAAGAGTCTAGCCACAGGGCTTTCTATATAAAAAGGGAAAACATATTCCAGTTGAGAGACCTGGGCAGGCCTTACCAGCTTGCCATGCTGAGCCCGCAGCAGATTCTCTGAGCACAGGTGCAGCAGCTTTGGCAACTGCCGAGCCGGTTTGCCTGTTTTCTGGGAATTTGTAAGGGAAGTTGTGGTATCTTGTCTTGCGAGAGCTCAGAGATGGGGCTCGTTCCTGGCTTGCAGTGAGGTGGGACTGGTGTGCTATTTGAAATTGTATTTAGGGCTGCACTCTCAAGTCACCTGTGGCCTCAGGAATGTGCTGGTGTGATCTGGGAGGATTTGAGTTTCCTCTTTGAAGTCACTTTTTTTAAGAGGCTGGTTTGATTTTAACCAAGTTGCCAGAGCCTTCCTCTTTCCCCTCACATTCACAAAGCGTGCATTGTTCCTGTACCCAGTGTGCTCTAAATAAGACACCAGATCAGATGCAGCCAACCCAGTCTTGCATAAGCCTTAAAATGTAGTTTTTGAAACAAGTAGGCCAGGAGCCAGAGTGGAACTCTTAAAATGGGACAGATGTCAAGAGAATGGTCTCCTCTTGCACCCTTCCAGAAGAAAAGCAAGTCTGGGATTACAACTTCCAGTGGCCTACTTTAGACAGACAGTACTCTGGAAGATGACTTTATTTATAAATATTTTTAAACATAAAATCTCAAAAATAGAACGCCATGAAAATCACAGTGCATGATGGTGACCCACTGGCTGACTGTTGGGATATTCTTCTTGCCCAGCCTTTTAATCTGATGTTGGAGTGACCTATTGAAGTGGCTTTTACACCTTTTATGTTCATGATGGGTTTGAGGAGTTTTCTTAAACATGATGGAAACTGCTGTTAAAAAGTAGGCTGTAGATTTATCAAACTGGAGAGGTTTTATATAAAAATAGGAAGATACTTAAAGTACCTAATTAGCTTTTGGGAGGAAAGGGTGCTATTGAAATGCTCTTTCAAGTTTTCTGATACCAGCTTGGAGAGACTCCGGTTTGCCTCAAAATAGGATGTGTGCTCATGGAATGTTGGGTCTTTTCTCTCTCCGGAAGGAAGATGGGAGGGGAAGATGGAGCCTACTGGTTGTGTGGTGGCAGTTCACAGCCCATTCCCATATGCAGGGTGGCCTTTGCTTGCATCACTTGTGAAGTCCGAAGATTGGGGAGTTTACATGTAGAAGCAGCTTATTAGCTCTTGTGATAGGGGCAGGGCCTGAGCCTCCAGTAGGGGAGGTAAGGAAAGTAATCACTGGTTTCTGTAGATTGAAAGTCTTGAGAATGTGTGTCCCATGATAGAGAATAAGCCCCAAGTTTTATGGCTGTGGGTAAAAAAAGTGTGTCATTCTTTCTTACTGAAACAGCTTATTCCTTAGTGTCAAGTTTTGAAAGAGAAACCCAGTAAAAAGTATCTTTATTCTCATGTTAAAAAAGTTTTTGTTGGATGATGCATTAACAATACAAAAATATTTTTAACACTACAATAGTCCTTTTCTTTCTCTCAAGACTTCTTGCAACACTATACTAGAATATATGTTCTTTGGATTCTGAGAAGCCAGTGGCTAAACTAGGAACTAAAGGCTTTTGTTGAGGGATGTACGGGTATAGGAACAGCCCGTTTTCTTTGGAATCAGGCTATGTACAGTGAGGGAAGATGCAAAAAAAAAAAAAAAAAAGTTAAATTAAAAGTTTTTTTTTAAGGCTCAGGGTTGAAGCTTGGCTCAGAAATGGGTTAAAGTAGGCTGTGGTGAAAACCCACTGACTACCACTAGAGGTTCTCTGGACTTCTTGCTTTGATGGTGATGGTCCTTCCTGCAGGACTATTAGGAAACTGAAGCTGACCTGTTTTGTGCTGGAAGGTAGGCACGGACTGTCACGAGGTTTGCCCTCTCTCTCAACTGCCCAAGAGCTGCCTAGACTGACACGGATAAGTAGGAAATGGAGCTGTGACTGAGGGCTTCTAGGAGTAGGGAGGGATGCACGCTAGGTTTTGGGCCGTAATTTCTTTCAGCTGTTGAGTTCACCCAACCCAAAGCTTGGGACCTTAGTAATCAGAGCTTATGGCGAGGCTGAGTTTCTCTTGGAAACATTTCCAAGTAATTTGAACTAGAGCCAGGTACGTCTCACTGCCCATACTTGCCTGATAAGGTAGTGTCAGGTTATTCCTGCTGCCTGTGGTGATAGGCCTAGATTTAACTGTTCCATTCCCTCCTCGTCTTGCAAGCTCTTGAGAACATGGCAGGAGGCTTCCTTCTGGTCCACCTTAGGAATGATTCCTCCTTTTCTGTCAAAAGGGCTTCTCCAGGCCCTTTTGACGTAAGTATTGTCCTCTTGAGCACGTGGTTGTGACCATGCTCAGGTGTTGTTTCATAAACCAGCTCATTAGTCCATGAAGTGTCTGGTATGGGGAGGGTGTGGCAGTGGTGGGGCTGGGGAGGTGGAGGGTAGGGAAAGCAGCTGGGCTCAGTCCCTCGCATCTAGGACATCTATAGCAAAAAAGCAGATGAGGCAGCAGGGGGCATCTGGCCAGCAAGACAGTGGTAAAAGGGATAGATGCAGGCTGCTGTAGGCACAAGGGATGCCCTTAATCAGATGACACAACACAGATCTGACTCCTGCCACTCGGAGCAGTTGGATTGATGGCCCCAGGTTCAGGCAGAAGTTGTGCAGCCTCGGAAGTCTCCTGGGCCTGGTCCTGGAGAGGGAGGTAACAGGGCCCCTGGCCAGTTTCCATGTGCTTTGGGGCTCTGTCGCTTCCTCTCAGAGGATGGGCCCCTGGAGGCAGCCAGGTGTCCTGTGCATGCTAGGCTGCCTGTCTCTGAGATTCCAACCGTTGCACCTGTGTACTCTGCAAGGTGCTGGGGAGGGCCTGGGGGGGTCCAGGGGGCTGGGAGGCTGAGAGCGGCCGAGAGCCCTGGTGATGTAGGCGCTGGCTCCGCAGGACTAGCAAGCAGTTCTGTGGGGAGGTGGGGCAGCAGGAGGTATGAGGGCGAGTCCTGGGGGGCTGGGGACCCGGGGCAGCCTACAGCACTGTCATCGGAAGGAACGGGGCTGGGGCAGCGGCCTTCTCCGGGTAAGTACCGAATGCATTTCTTTTTCCTCCTAGGAATAGTGAAGAGAGTTATCTGTAAACAGAGGGTGAATTCATAGTCATACACCACAACCAGAAAATGCTGTCCTTGCACAGGCCTAGCTGACCTCTTGTCCCCTCTCCCCAGGACTTGGGTGATGTGCCTGTGCCTTCAAACCTAGCATTGCAGTTCTGCTGGGCCTGGCCCAAACCTGGAACAGGTGTAGTACCCAGCACAGCCACAGGGTGGCACAGGAACCTCTTGTGGGCTGGCCCTGGGGGCTGCCTTCTGTTTTCCCGGGAAAATTATCTCCTAGTTTGGGCCTTGGAGCTTCTGCTTCACATGTCTGTGGGGCTCAGATCTGCATTAAGGCAAAGGGCTGCACTGCTTGTGGATTCTTGGGTGGTGCTCAGACAGAATACCACAGATACGCTCCCACTGTGTGTACATACATACACGTCTGTACTACCCGAATTCCTCTCTGCCCTTGGAGAGGGAGCATGGTGGGCACTGTGAGGGACTGGACAGTACTCCTTAGAGTCTGTGAATGTAATGCCTGGAGTAGGTTCAGCACTACCAGACCTGACCTCAGCTTCAACCAGGCAAACTTCAGTCACTTGGTGTAGGTATGTATACCTTCTTTCACATACACATTACTATATGGGGAAACACATGGGTTTAGTGCCACAGAGCCTAAGTATGACCCTTTTGCTAGGACAGCCCAGGGATACCCCCTCTTCCTCTCTCCCTACCTCTACAGTCCCCTCATTTCCGGTACAAGGTGAAGTACATGACCACTTGGCATCCAGGCTCTTCTCTACTACAGTCACCTTGGTGTGGGGGGTGTGTGTGTTTTCCCCCAGTTTTTTAGGGTTCAGGAATCCTAACTTGAAGAGGTGAGGGAACTGGTAGACCATGGTGAGTTCTAGGCCTGGTAGCCAGGGGCTCAGGCCACTGATTGGGGCACATGAGATTGGCCTGCTGAGGATCTGCTAACGCTAGTCAGCATTAGGCCATCATTAACCAAGGACCCTGGGCAATAGGCACCAGAACTACCTCCTTGAATCTGCCTGCCTTTTCTAGAACATTCTTACTCCACCTCATTCTTAGGAGACATGGGTTCCCCAATCTGTGGGTATGCTTTGGGACTGGGGGACCAAAGGAGGGCTACAGGCCCAGCAGAACATGTGCAGAGTCAGGGAAGCAGCTTGAAGCAAAGGGAGGATGGTGGTGGGGACAAACCCACCTGCACGGACCACACCAATCCGTCTGCTGGTTGAGGCCAAAGCGAGCACGGCATTTCTTAGGCGAGCCAGGGTCTGCTCACAGCCATGCCAGAGGGGCAGAGCAGGGCAGAGGGCGAGCAGGCAGGCAGCAGGGCAGAGCAGGGCCCAGAAAGAAGAGGTAACATCAGTGTCAGCCAGTCACAGATACCCCATAGGCCCCATAGGCAGAGGGCCTCTCCATGGCACAGCCAGCCCCCATGGGAGCCCCAGGACCCAGAGCCAGGTTATCAGGAAAGGTGGGCACCTAGCTAGGCAGGAGAGGCAGTGGGAAGAACAGTGGAGGGAGGGAGGGGAATCCTATCAGGTTAGCTGCTCTTGTTGCAGCATGGGAGCCATGGGAGAGGAGACCTGGGGAGGCCCTGAGGGCTGCCCACCCCACACATTTCCCTGCCCACTTTATCCAGTTTTTCTTCCTTTTTGTCAGTGCCCACTCTGTCTAACCCAAACCCTCCCGCAAGGCATTTAAGCTGTAGCTTAAACCAGGTGGACAGTTAAGTCCATATCTCAGAAAAAGGGCTGAGGATTCTACCCTGCCTCAGTCCTAGCCTTGAGCTTCCCTGTGTGGGGGCAGCATAGCTTGAGACCGTCATAGATGTGGAGTCTGAATTCAACTATCGGACTTGGGGCATGAATTCACCCACAGGAAGGAGACTTGAAGCAGTGTGTGGCTTCCTTGAGTCCTCCATACAGAGCACTCTGCACTGTCCAAATAAATGGGTCGGGTAGGAGGGCTGGTGACCAAGTAACAGCCAGGCACCAACCAGCAGGCAGTGGGACTTCTGGGCCTAGGCAGGGCTGCACCTCCACCCCCACAGCCTGCGTGCAGGTCACAGCAGAACCACAGGCTCAGTTTCTGTGGCAGAGGCTAGCTGGGAGCAGGGCTTGCAAAGGTGGGAGGGTGCAGTAGGGCAACACACCAATGTTACACTGTTACAGGGACTTCCTACAGCTGTTCCTCACATGCGGGATCAGACTTGTGAGGAGTGGGCCTTGTTTCCAGAAGGTCTAAAGGTCTGGCTGAGTGTTCTGCCCCTCCCTCTGGGCCAGAGCAGGGTGCTCATGGAATACACACTTGGAGAGCAGTCTCCACTGCTGAGAGGAGGCCTCACCTGTGTTGGATTCCTGGTGCTTTTCCCGAGACCGCCTTTTCTTCTTCCCCTGCAGGGAACAGAGGGAGGGATTCTGCTCAGATTTGGGAGGTGGTCCCTTGATAACTCCAATGAGTGAGTGGTTGGGAAACCTGCAGCCCAAATCTGGCTGTTGCTGAAATTCTTGGGTACAGATTTCCCTCCTCCCGAGGTGGCCTGGCATTTCTTGGTGGCAGTTTTTGCCAGGGTACCAAGGTGCAGAGGATGGCACAGAGGATCCTCCTCCCTTTCCCATGCTGGTCTCCTTTCTGAATGGAGGAGACAACTTACAAGGAAGGCCCCTTCCTCTCCATTTGCCTACATGGCCAAACACCAGGCAAGAGTCCTGTGGGGAGAGTACATCCCAGGGGAAAAGAGGACATGGGCCTACCTTCAGGGGCAGCTTCCCTTGCTTGGCTCTCTTCAGACTAGCCACATGAGGCCTTGGGCCCTTCACTCCACCACCTGCCCTCCTTAACTCTGCTTTAGGACAGTGGTCTGGGGCATGGCATTTTGAAGGTTCCCCTCCCCGTCCCTCACTGGCCACTCACATAATTGTCCCGCGCTGACCAGCCTGGGTACAGCTGCATGTGCAGCTGCCTCTCCTTTCGGGCCAGCTCATAATACTTGGCTTGCTCTTCCCGAGACAGTGCATGCCACTGCAGTGGGGAAGAAGGGGTAGATGGAGTGTATCAAGGCGTCAGTCAGGGGCCATCCCTACCAGCCCTCCTGCCCGTGGCCTCACCCTTCGACCCAAGATCTGGTTGATGGCAGCACTCTCCTTGAGTGTGCACTCTGCAATGACCTTGGCTCTCATCTCCTTCATGTACAGCATGAAGGCGTTGAGGGGCTTCTTGATGGTTGGCTTCTTGGCCTCCTTCTCCACCTTGGATTCTGCCTGTGTCTTCCTAAGGAGTACAAATCCAGATCACTCAGGAGCCCCCCCCAGTGTCCACCTAATGCTGCTGCCTTTTTCTAGTTTGTGTCCGGTGTGTGTGTAAGTGCATGGAAACTAGGGTTTTGTAAATGGTATCTTTTTCAGCTGCTCCAAAATGGATGATCAGAACTATGTAACTCTTCCTTACAGGAATGCTGCAGCTAAGAGAAACATGTTTAAGGACTTCTCAGCCCCTCCCCTTTGGCTCAAATCTTTGTTCCCCACCTTATCCATTCCCTCCTGCTTCTAAGGAGTGTACGACTCTTGCTATTGGGGTTGTGAGTTCACGCCCCACACTGGGTGAAGAGATTACGTAAATAAATAAACTTAAAAAAACAAAACTTTGGTCTTTCAGTGGTGAGAACCACAAGATGGCTTGACCAGAGGCTGCCCCTGACAGCCCCTAGAGCTTCTAGGCAGCAGGTGTAGAATCTGGTGGGAAGAATGTGTCTCTGGCTGATGAATGGATGGGCTCCTGAGTCTGCTCACTTGTTCCCCTCCCTCCACACTGGGCACCTTCTCACTCACAGGCTGCGGTCATACGGCTGCAGTTCCTGCTTCCCTGAGGGAGGTACGATGGCCGGGTGGGGGATGGCTGCAGGGTGACCAGGTACACCAGAGCCCAGCATCAGGGATGGGTGGGTGAACCTAAAGGCAGAAGGAGAGTTAACACCGAGGCAGGAACGTATGGGCCAGACCTTGGATGTCTGGAGGCCCCTGTACAGTACACGAAGATGGGGGCACACCCCAGCCCCACTGTCTTGCACACGGTACACAGATACATACAAACACCTGCTCCCAACAGATCACACAGACACACTGCACAAATCTGCATGCATGTCATTCAGGGGGCTATGAAGTCAATCCTGAATAGCTTTGGAATCCGTCCCCTTACCTTACACTGTCACCAGTTCAGCCTCCTGAGCCTGTGACTGCCGTGGGAGTCCCCTTCCTCTCCTGCTTGAACCCTCCAGGCCTCTCTCCACACAACACTCAGAGGGACTTTTAAAAACACCTGAGTGCTCTTGGCCACTCCTGCTGAAATTCCCCGATAGCCCACAGAATAAAACCCAGGATCCTCCACAGGACCTGCCCCACTCTGCATGAACACCCCCGCTGACAAAATCTCCATCTTTTCCCCACTTTTTTTTTTTTTTTAAAGATTTATTTATTTGACAGAGAGACATCACAAGTAGGCAGAGAGGCAGGCAGAGACAGAGGGAAGCGGGCTCCCTGCTGAGCAGAGAGTCCGAAGCGGGACTCGATCCCAGGACCCTGGGATCATGACCTGAGCCGAAGGCAGAGGCTTAACCCACTGAACCACCCAGGTGCCCATTTTCCCCACTTCTTCATCACTTTACAGCCCTCGCCATCCCCAACCAGTGCTGTTCCCCTTGGCCACTTTACTCAGGACATGTGACTCTTGAGGAAGCTCTCCCTGTCCATGCCCCTGCCCTGGCTGGGTTCTGATTAGGATTATCCCATCACCCAGAAAGCCCATTTGACAATTAGTGCTCTGTCCATACCTCCCACCCTGGGCTGTGAACTCCAGTAGGGCTGGACATGTCTGTTGAGTTACTTGTTCTGTCCCTGGCTTGGGTCGGTCACTGAAGGAGTGTGAGTGCATTGAAGGGACTCATACATATACACACACCTGTCACTTTGATTTTCTGCTCTTCTGTGGAAACCACAGTGCCCTTGCTCCTTTCTCTGAGCAGGGAGCCCCTAAGGGTCCAAGGTTGGAGACACATGGAAAAGGTGGTGCCTCAGCTTGGGCAGAGCTCACGGAATGCCCAGGAGAGTGTGCCTGACCCGCCCTCCAGCAAGGAGGCACAGGAGAGGTGAGGGCACACACACCTGCACTTGGGCGGACTCAGGCACGCACAGAGGCAGGAGCACAAACACACGTGTGCAGGCACTGTCCCCGGCTGCTCGAGGGCACTTGGCTGCACGGTATGGCCTGGGCTTAAGCCTCTCGCTCTCCCACTGGCTTCATTTTCAGGCACAGAGCAGCAGGGGCTGCAGAATGACAGACGGACGGATGGACAGACAACTAGCACAGGGCAAGCACTGGCCTGGGCATGGCCTCGTGTGGGCACTGAAGCCTGGGCAACAGGAAGCAGGAGCCTGGCTGCAGGGTGTGGGACTCACCTGGGGTAGGGGGCGCCAGGGGCTGCAGTGGGGGCGGGGAAGTGCTGTCTATATCCGCAGGAAGGGGACAAGGGGTAGAGAGGAGGGCTGGGCCTGTGGTTGGGAGAGACAGCTGTTAGCAGTCTGGCTACTGGCCAGATGTGGGGACAGACTTCCCCACAGTGCTTGGGTCTGACCCGTGGTGGGCAGGGAATCGGTCTCTGCTAGGACTCTTCCAGTGTATGTACTGGGCATCTGCCACCAGAGGGCAACCTGTGCTGCTCCTGTTTTCCTCTACACACTTGCACTGGCGCCTAAGGGGCAGAAATGACAGCTTTCTCCCAGGATCCAGCTCAGGCGCCGCGCCCCCACCCCTCCCCCCAGCTCACCTCTAGCCTTATTTCCTGGTCAATACAGGGCTGACATCTACCTTAGGGCTTCTGCATCCACTGTTAAAATGACTGGATTATTTTGTCCCCCTTTGGATTCCTGGTCTCCCTTCAGGCCTTGCTTGGCTATGTGACCTTCTCTTCTGAAAGTCCTTGAAATGCTGAGCTGGATGAGGCACCCCTCTGGGCTCTTACAGCCCCCAGCGAAAGCACTGCTAACACTGCCCTATAATTGTTGGGGGTCTGGCCTGGGTAGCGTACTAGGGTGATCAGGTGCTGAGAGGGCAGGGGCCTGAGGTCGGCCAACCCTGCCTGGCCAACTTCAATCCTGGGGTATTCATAGGTGAAGTCCTGATTGGTATTCAGAGTTGGAGCACTGTCCGAGGAGAATCTGGAAACGGAGTGAGAGCTGAACATGGGTAAAGAGCACATGGAAGAGGGCAGGCAGGCAGGTGTCAGGTTGGGCCTCCGGCCTTCCCTTCCTTCCTGGGAAACCATGCTTTCCTGCTGTTGGGTGACTGCCCCAGCCCAGAGAGGCTGCAGACCTGTCCGCTTCACACTGTGGTTCATGAGCAAAGGGCCAACCAGCCTGCTGAGACTCAGCTCCAGCTGAAGACGGGCCCTTTGGCCTGCTGACTTAAGGTTCAGGCTGGCTTTTGCTGGCCCAGCCTTTACAGACTCTAAGGCTCTCTAAGCCCCTGGCCAGGGGCTTGGGCTCAAGCAGGCACCAGAGGAGACACAGAGAACTCTGCTCTTCAGGGAGCTCAGCCAAGGACCAGTTGGCAGGAAGTACTGAGGTAAGTAGAATTGTATCCCTTTGCCCACCACATGGCTGAAAGGTAAAAGCCTGTCTCATGGCCATTCGTACTGTCATTGTCCCCTCCCTGCCCAGGCAGGTCTCCCTTTTCTTCCTTACCTATTCTTACAACCCTGGGCAGCTCAGTGTCCCCCACCCCACACTACTCAAGGCAGAGTTCAAGTGTGGCATGACCAAGACCAGAAGTCAAGGGGAGTGCACTGGGCCATCTGGAAAATGGACAGAACTTCTGGCCAGCCCCTGGTACCGACACAGAGCTGGCAGCAGAGTGCTGGTAGAACAGGATGGAGGGAGGTGGTAAATGACAGGGCAAGTATGGGTCTCACCGGCGCAAAGTGCCCTCTTCCCACCGGGCCCACACTCACCAGCTCACAGTGTGGGGGAGTTGTCCCATGCTGCCTGAGGTCAAAGAGTAGAAGCCAGAGAGGTCGGAGGTCTGCAGAGGCCTGTGAACTCCTACAGTGGAGAGGGGCCGCGTGAGTGATCTAGCCTGACCTGGAAGCTACTTCTGCTAGTTACTGCATCCTAGAGCCACCGGTGGGGCCTCTAAGATTTGCTACAGGACCAGACATACTGGTTTGTTCAGGACTATGCCAGTATGATGACAGTGTTCCGTTTACAGGGCAGAGAGACTGGTGACTACCCTTAAGGACACTGGCTGACCAGGGGAAGAGGTGGAGTCTTCAGGAGTGGGAAGGCCAGGCCTCACCGTGCCCCGGTCCACTGCTGGTCTTCACCTGGGGCCTCTCCACTGGGGACTCTGGTCTGGCTTTGTGTGCAGAAGGCAGGCCCCCTGGCCTGGGCAGCCTGGGATCCACCCGCCCCCTCTGCCTCCCCAGGGTTGAGTCAGCACGTTTCCCACAGCCGACAATGGCTGATTTCAGAATGACTTTCCCTGAGGCTGAGGTGAATCAGCCATCACAACCACCACTTTCCATTTTCTCACTGGGGGAGGGAAGGATTCAAGTTTTACTGTCCTGAGCTTTACACAAATGCCTGCTCCCACATCCTGGCATTGGGAGGCCACTCGGGATTAGGCTCCTACCTGAAGTCTTCCAAGTTTGACCTGGCACCACCTGCCCTCAGGCTCCCCATTCATCTTTCTCATGTTTTCTTTGGGCTTTGAGTTTGTCCAGTCCCAGGTCGTCCAGTTGTAAACAGGGCCTAGCCCCTGGACTCAGAAGCTGAGGACTTGGCCCCAGGCTCAGGGGCTGTCAGGTCCCTCCCCTTCCCAGATCCGTACCTTGTTTCTGGCTGATGTCGCCTGGTGCAGGTGTAGGGTGTGGGCTGCTGAAATGTTCATAGAGAGGAGAGAGTTGTGGGACGCTGTGGGCTGGCTGACTGGCTTTGTTGTGCTGAAAAATGAGGGGGGGGCGCGATGTGAATGTGGGGAGACCCAAAGGACGAAGGCCCAGGGCTGGGGGCGTACATATAGACAGAGCCTCTTTTAGCTGTGCGGGTAGCCCAAATGTCAAAGGAAAGTGAGGGTTAAAACCACAGGCCTCGAGGAGGGGGCACCACTCAAGCCGTGCAATGTCCAGTGGCCCTGCCTATGGCCCCCAGACTTTGCTCAAGCAGCCCTCCCACCTAGAGAGCCTCTTGGTTTCTGCACGCTCAGTTCCAGGAGGCACATCTCCCTTCTCCAGGAAATTCTTTCTCCCTCTGGGTCTGAGGCAGTCCTCCCCCATCCCCCAGCCACTCCTTCCTCCCCCGGTTTCTCTGAGGCCCTGTGGCTTGTCTGGGGGCTGCTCATGGCCTCCAGCCTGACATCAGGTAGTGGTCTCAAGACCTGGCTTACCCCAGGACAGCCAGGAGTTTTCTTTCTTCCTCCTCCAGCCCCCAGACTCAGGGTTTTGAGTCTGACCCACTATTCCACCTCAGGCTTAACAGGATTTGTGCGCACAAGAAAGGCTCCCATCAACCCTTTAACTCGGAGCAGGTGGGCTAGGTAGAGCCAAGGCTCCCTCCAGGGCCAGCCCACCCAGCCCCCACACTTCCTGTTTCCTCAGCAACACAGGACTCTTACTTTTCACACTAGTCACATGGATCTGTCATGAGATGACTCACACTGGGAAGGGGGCTCCCCACGCGAACCCAGCCACAGGGAGGTGCTGCTTGGGGCCAAGGCACAGCTCTGCATCTCCCCAGCGCACACCTGCACAAGCCAGAATCCTGGAAACATCTTCTACCACTGAGGCTCAGCTTCCACTTGGAAAGTTCACCTGTGGGGATTCTGCTGGCTAGGAGCACAAATAAGTGACTTTTGACTCATGGCACAGAAGAAACACGGGGACATCTTGGAGCAGGAGAGTAGTGAGAGGTTGTGGCCTGGGGTCCTTCCCGCCCTGTGGGTGCGATTTCCCACTGGGTGAATTCAGCCAGACTCGCCAACACTTCTGGGCTTCAGTTTCCTCTCTTGTGCAATGGATGTTCATGGTCCCTTCATCACCAGGTCTGGGGAAGCTTAGGGGAGCTCATGGAGAGGAGGCCTGGCACAGGTCCCCCCTGCCCCCCAGATTAGCTGTTTGGCGTCCAGGGTGAAGCGAGAGGGGAGGCCAGGTATGAGCTGCACCCTAGCCAAGATGTGAGGCTTCCAGGTAGACACAAGCTCGCACACCCACCGGCAGCAGCCCTGGCTGCCCTCTCCTCCACACTCCTGCCTCCAGGGGAGCTTGAAGCTGGGCTCCCAGCTCGGGGCTCGGGGAAGGTGCTGACACTGCCACCTCTTTGGTCCCCTGCTCGTTCATCTGCCCACAGGGAAAAGCCTCATCAGCTTCTGTCCTCAGGCACATGGGTTGATGTCCCAGTAGCGGTGGCACCACAGCCCCAAGGGAGCACCTCTAACTAGAGCCCTCTCTTGGCTTCCTGGGGCAGATCCGGGAGGGTTCTCCACTGTGAACCTGAGGAGGAGTTGGCTGGCCTGTTCAGATCTGCTTCTAATGTGTGTGGCCGGCATCAGTTTCCTTGGCAAAAGGAGAGGATCACAGGGTTGTTGTGAGGGTAAAGCCACATAGTACCCAAGAGCTCAATTCCTCAGGTGCTGTGTCATGTGGAAGGAACATGCAGGAAGCCCCTCACATGTACAAAGGAAATGTTCCTCACTGTCCTTCCCTGGCCCTGTGGTGCTGACCTCTCATGGGCCAGTTTTGGTCTGAATTTGCCAGAGGGGATTTGCCTATGGATGGAAGACCCATCTGACAGCCCACCAGCAACCTCAGCCCTGGAGGCCGAGGACTGGGCCGTGGTGTCTCCAGGCCTTGGGTGCGGTGACTTTCCCCTTGCTATTCTAAGGCAAGGCTTTCTGAGCAAGCTGGGAGGCTCATGCCACACTCGGGCTTTCTTTATCTGCAGCACTGACCCCAGACACAACTGGGACAGAGCGCGCATGTAGGAATGAAGCAGAGAATGTAGGCTCCTCAGGCTTGCTGGCAAGGGCTGGCAAGAGAGAGGAAGTGGGCTGGGGCAGCTATGGGCTGTAAGGACACCTGTGGAATCCTTCCTGTACGGAGTGCCCGCCACATGCCAGGCATAGTGCCAAGCTCTCCACAGGCCCAACCGCATTCCCACCAGGGGACCGATGGGCTGCCATTTCTCCCGGCTCTAAGTCCTCCCTCAGCCACCAGCTTAGGTCTTGCTCCCCTTTGCTGCAAAACGCAGCAGAAGCCCTCCCCATCCTCGGCTCCTATTCTTAATTCTCAGGCTCCCTTTCAGCCTAGCCATCCCTTGGCACCGTCACTTCACCAGACAGCTCCTGTCAAGGTCCCCAGCATCTCCCACACTGCTGAACTCAGTGCTCAGTCTTCCTTTTACTTGACGTCTCAGCAGAACTGAACACAACTCATTTCTCCCTCCTCCTTGAAAGTTTCTTCGCTTGGCCTCCAGAATGCCACACTCATCTGATTTGCCTCCACGCTCATAGGCTGCTTCTCTGTCGGCCTACTTTTTGGCTACTCCTCTTCCTGACCTAACCCAAGATGGGCCCTTGGCTTTCCATTTCCCCCTCATTCCCAGAGTGCTCTCATCCAGGGTCACAGCTTTCCATGTCTTCATCTGATGACTGACATTCCGATCTCAGCCCCTGCTTCCTCTAGGAAACTCCACTCCCCAAATGCCTACTCACCACATCTACCTGGAAATCTGAAATGCTGCCCAAACTCAGTATGTCCAAAGCAGAGCCCCTGGTTTTCTGCCCAAAATGCTGTTCTCCCTCGTCATCATTTAATGGCAACTCCCTTCTTCCAGTTGCTCAGATACCTTGGAGTATATCCTTGACTCTCTCACATCCCATCTCCAATCTGTCAGGTCATACGACTGGCTCTACTTCAAAATAATCTAGAATCTGCTTCTTCCTTCTCCCTGTCCCCAGCTCAGTCCAAGCCACAGTCACTTCTCACCCGGATGACTCCAGTGGCCGCCTGTCCCTCCATCAATCCTCCATCCAGCAACCATGTAAATCAGATCACAGCACTCCTGTGCCTAGAGCTGCCAATGCACTTAGAAAACCTACAAAGCACTATAGGTGCCCACTCCCTCCCTCTCTTCCCTGCTCACGCCCAGCACTTCCCATGGGCGCTTCAGCCTCCAGCCTCCTCCTCTCGTTGGTCTAGTGCTCACTTTAGGGTGTGCCACAAGGTAAAGTGGGCTAGGGAGCCTAGCTCGAAGGCTCTCTGATGTTTATATTAACCTTCTCATTACAGGATCCTGGGGCCAGTTTGCCCCTTGAATAACGACAATCAGAAAATCAGTCTCGATTACCTCACTGATCACAGATGCAAAAATTCTGCCTTCAAATTTGGGGGAGCAGTGGCTGAGGGAGGGCCTGGGAAGCTTCCTGGAAGTCTCTGGGGCTTTTTTTATCCTGATAGGTCCCCAAGACAGTGGTAGCCAGACATCATCAGCCCTGACCAGGCCTTATGACAGACAGGGCCACAGCTTCAGGGCCCAGTCTCTTAAGAACCTGGGATTCTGGTGGAAGGCATTCCACCATTCACCACTGAAGGGCACAAACGCCTGGAACCCTGGCCCAGTAGGTGGAATGAACACCCTCCACAGGTCCCTCTGGCCTGGGGGCTTTTGAATGTAAGCTCCCACTTCAGAGAAGGCCTTGCCATCTAGGCCCAGACTCTGGCTCTTGGGCCCCCCAGAACTATAAGTTTGGCTGGTGGAGTGGGACCCATGGAAGGAAGTCTTAGAACCAGAGTCTGGGGTCCAAGGTGCCAGCTTCAGGAGAACAGTCTCAGAGTCCCACTCTCCCAGGAAGGGGGTAGGGTGGGTTTGCTCCAAGGGACGAAGAGGGTGGCCCCACCCCCATCTCTGGGGAGGGCTAGCTTTGGCCAGGAAACCACAGAGAGGTGTCTCACCTCTTGGAGGACCAGAGCTGACTGTCCTAGGCCAGGCTGGCTAAGGCCCAACGTGCAGCACAGCCAGGCCTAGGAAACCCCCAAATCCAGCTCAGCCTACAGCCTGTGGCCTGGGATGCATGTGTGGAACAGATATTGAGTGGGGGTTGGGAGGTAGGAGGCATTGCCTGATGGTCAGAGGGCTCATCCTGTCCACCACCCTTCACTGGGAACTGGGGAAAGCCTCTAATTAAACAGGAGTCTGCAGCCAAACCACAGGGGGGCAGGGGTGGGGCAAAGAGCCTGCCATCCACTGGAGGCCGTGGGGTGGTCAGGGCTCTAGAGCAGGGCACTGAGGGCCTGGCCAGTCCTTCCCACGTTGATGCAGGCTGCCCCTCCGCCTCACTCCCCAGCCCCCTCATGTCTGAGCTGGTAGCCAGGAGGAACCATCTGGCGTAGGGCCCAGTGCCCCAAGCCCCCCTCAGCCCGTGGAACGTCCCGCTCCATGGCCTCAGCACAAGGCTGTCCCAGGTCCAGGCCGCCCAGACAAGGTGGGGTTGCCTGGGGCCTGGGATGTGTATGGGGAGCCCTATGACTGAAGCTGCCCCCTCTCCTCCCTCTGATACTGACTGCCCAACCTCCACAAGAAGGGGGCAGGCCTGGGCGGACTCTCCCCACCAGATCCTGAGTGTATGGGAGGGCACAAGCTCACCTCCCTCACCTGCGGGCAGAATGCCAAGCACGGAGCGGCCCCCTCAGTATTGCCCTTCACAGCGTGGTACAATGCCAACACAAAAGACTCAGCAGCCCGGACTCCCTGTTCAGGACTTTGCCTCTGCCAGCACACCCCCACCGCATACTCTCTCACATGCACACACACACGCACGATAAGTCCAGGACTCAGAGACCCTGGGGCTGGGAGGCCGGGTCTGCCACAGCCTGAGCAGAAGCCATCCTTCCTGCTGGCGCGTGGCTTTTCCTGCTCGGCACTCTTCTGACTCAAAATCCAGTGTCCC